TCCACCAACAACAGAGTCACCAACACCACAATGTTACGAAATGGCAAACGCTTATGATTATCGAGGCTCAGTACATACCACAACCAGCGGTTTCACATGTCAAGACTGGTCGTCACAGACACCGCATTCGCATTCATTCACTCCAGAAAGTTATCCAAATGACGGTTTGCTCAACAACAACAACTGCCGTAACCCCGATCAGGATAACACCGCATGGTGTTATACAACGGACCCAAACAGAAGGTGGGAATTTTGCGATGTAGGCAGTCCAAGTGAAAGCTGCGGTAGGTTTTTTTTCCCCTTTCGGAATGACATTGACAAGATAACATGCTCTAACTCAAAAAAATATTTTTCTGTGAACCTGTTTGTCTAGTCAACTTTACAGAGATAAGTGCTTTAAGGTGATTTCATTTTGCCCTATTTAAGTCCATTACCATACTATCCATTGTTTTTACAAACTATAAATTTTATAATGTATATTTTGGAATACATATAAAAGATATTATTAAAGTTAATTTACTTCAAATAAGACAAGCTTTTGTTTCTATTCATTGGCTGATTAAATGTCCGGAATTAAATTGAATATATAATCATTGACAGAGAGCATATTGGGCTGAAAGACTTAGAGCACAGGATAAATAGAAGCATTTGCTGAACATGATGACGACGACAATAATTATAATGATGGTATTAAAACATAAAAATACATAATTTATTGGGATTATGATACTGGGTATGTAATATTCATCCATAATTGAAACTACATTGTTCTTTTCCACTCTGAAATAAGAAAGAAAATTACATGATCAATCAGGGGAAAAAGTAAGAAACTATCTAGGCATGATTTTGGCAAATTTTCAGTGTTTGTCGACAAAAACGTGCACAAGGATTCATATCTTTGATGCGCACGTATTTCATTGCTGTTGGCCCTAAGATGACTAAAAAAGAATGGAAATTTGTGAATACAGTGTCAGAAACCCCAAAACATGAAAAAACACGAAATTTGCAGCTGCTGTATGTGCTCCTCATGTAAAAATGTGCGTGGAGAGGAAAATTTGAAATGCTCGAAATGGCCTGAAACGTGCTCTAATTTAGTCAAAAATGATTTTGAGCATTTTGAAAATTTGGATGCACGAGTACGCACGTGTTATGACCCAGGCATGTAAAATTCAGGTACATGACATTCAACTTTGACCTGAAGTTTATGCTCACCAAGTATTATTTCAAAACGGCAATTGGTTAGGATAATATGAACGAAAATGTGAAAACGCAAATTTGCACGCAGATGACATCACGCATGACTGGTCACATTGAAAAGCTTATTGTTACTATTACATGCCAAGCCAAATGTCCCTTGAAGTTGCCATGTACGTAGCTTGAGGCAATTTTTAGATATCGTGCGAACAAGAAATGGGGAGAAATGTAGAATTTAAAAAAAAAGATCTCTCACAATAACAAGAGGTGATCCGTTCTGTGAAGCGGATCACCAAAACAAAGACTTTTTTAAAGTTTTTTGCTTTTCCGCCCCATTTTTTTCAGTGAGTTAGCGTCGGGTGAGGAGGGCAACCAAAATTTTTTTTTTTGGGCCTAATGGCCAAAATACCTAGGTGCACTACGTTTCCAGCAAATGGGGCTGCCGTGGTCACTGGGGACATACTGTAAACCTAGCATAATACCCATATTGCATTTAATTATTGTATTTGTATGTTATGCTAGGTCCTACGGGAGAACAATATGCTGTACTGAATAGCTACCCCCTCCTCGAAGATTAAAGAACAATAAAGGGAAGATCATAATACTAGCTCTTGACCTAGGTTTTGGCAATTATGTATCTAGATCTTGATTACTTTTAAGTTGATGATAACAAATTGAAACTTTCACAGCTTCTTCAACAACTGAGTCACCAACACCACCACCAACCACAGAGTCACCAACACCACCACCAACCACAGAGTCACCAACACCACCACCACCAACAACAACAACTGAGTCACCAACACCACCACCAACTGAGTGTTATGAAATGTCAAACGCTTACGATTATCGAGGCTCAGTACATACCACAACCAGCGGTTTCACATGTCAAGACTGGTCGTCACAGACACCGCATTCGCATTCATACACTCCAGAAAGTTATCCAAATGACGGTTTGCTCAACAACAACAACTGCCGTAACCCTGATCAGGATAACACCGCATGGTGTTATACAACGGACCCAAACAGAAGGTGGGAATTTTGCGATGTAGGCAGTCCAAGTGAAAGCTGCGGTAGGTTTTTATTCCCCCTTCGGAATGACATTGACAAGATAACATGCTCTAACTCAAAAAAATATTTTTCTGTGAACCTGTTTGTCTAGTCATCTTTACAGAGATAAGTGCTTTAAGGTGATTTCATTTTGCCCTATTTAAGTCCATTACTAATATTCATTGTTTTTACGAACTCTAAGTTTTTAATGTATCTATTAGTTTCTTCCAAAACTTTTATTATCCATTTCTTTGTAAACAGTTTTACAAAATTCATTCTAGTTTTAAATTTCACTATTACTGTGCACTATGTTTAAAAATATAATTATTATTTTTATTTTTTAATTTATATATACAGTATTATTGTTTATTGGCCTTTCCCAGCAGTACTGGGAAAAGCCATTGTTTTTGTTCTGATTTTTTTTTTTTTGCCCTATTTTATTTTGGAATAAATATAAAAGATATTATTATAGTTAATTTAATTCAAATAAGACAAGCTTTTGTTTCTATTCATTGGCTGATTAAATGTCCGGAATTAAATTGAATATATAATCATTGACAGAGAGCATATTGGGCTGAAAGACTTTTTTTTTTGTTTCCGCCCCATTTTTTTCAGTGAGTTAGCGTCAGGGGAGGAGGGCAAACAAACTTTTTTTTTTTGGGCCTAATGGCCAAAATACCTAGGTGCACTACGTTTCCAGCAAACGGGGCTGTCGTGGCCACTGGGGACATACTGTAAACCTAGCATAATACCCATATTGCATTTAATTATTGTATTTGTATGTTATGCTAGGTCCTACGGGAGAACAATATGCTGTACTGAATAGCTACCCCCTCCTCTAAGATTAAAGAACAATAAAGGAAGATCATACTACTAGCTCTTGACCTAAGTTTTGGCAATTATGTATCTAGATCTTGATTACTTTTAAGTTGATGATAACAAATTGAAACTTTCACAGCTTCTTCGACAACTGAGTCACCAACACCACCACCAACAACAGAGTCACCAACACCACCACCACCAACAACAACAACTGAGTCACCAACACCACCACCAACTGAGTGTTATGAAATGTCAAACGCTTACGATTATCGAGGCTCAGTACATACCACAACCAGCGGTTTCACATGTCAAGACTGGTCGTCACAGACACCGCATTCGCATTCATTCACTCCAGAAAGTTATCCAAATGACGGTTTGCTCAACAACAACAACTGCCGTAACCCTGATCAGGATACCACCGCATGGTGTTATACAACGGACCCAAACAGAAGGTGGGAATTTTGCGATGTAGGCAGTCCAAGTGAAAGCTGCGGTAGGTTTTTTTTTCCCCTTTCGGAATGACATTGACAAAATAACATGCTCTAACTCAAAAAAATATTTTTCTGTGCACCTGTTTGTCTAGTCATCTTTATAGAGATAAGTGCTTTAAGGTGATTTCATTTTGCCCTATTTAAGTCCATTACCATACTATTCATTGTTTTTACGAACTGTAAATTTTATAATGTATCTTTTAGTTTCTTCCAGAACTTTTATTATCTATTTCTTTGTAAACAGTTTTACAAAATTCATTCTAGTTTTAAATTTCACTATTACTGTGCACTATATTTAAAAATATAATTATTATTTTTAATTTTCATATACAGTATTATTGTTTATTGGCCTTTCCCAGCAGTACTGGGAAAAGCCATTGTTTTTGTTCTGATATTTTTTTTTTTCTTTTTTTTTTTTTCTGGCAGTCACTTTGGTCACTTCCCATGCTTAGAATTTTTCTGTGCTTTGCCGAAGCATAGGCCATATATCAAAGATGTGCCTCCTAATATTTAGTGTCAATCTATGGTGGATCTGGAGACCATTTAAAGGGAAACGTCCCAGACCACATATTTTGAAAACAGATCAACTGATCTGAATGAAACATTCAGAAAAAGGTTAACCAAGTTACAAGGAAGATAGTATTATGTGTTGGCAAGGAATCAGTGAAGGGTATAAATTGGAGGGTCATTTAAACTTTTGAGATCCCAGACGTAAATATTTATAAAAAGTTTTCAATTGGTGTAAATGAAACTTTTTATAATAGTTTGGAAAGGTCCATTAAAGAAGTTACTGAATTTTGTGATGATCCGGCGTGCGGTGTGAATATGAGGACCATTTAAATGAAAACATCCCAGACTAGATATTTCAAAAACGGGTCAACTGATCCGAATGAAACTTTTGGGAAAGTTTAACCCAAGTTACAAGGAAGATATTATTATGTGTAGGGGACAATCTAGGTTAGGGTGTAAATGTTAGGGTCAATAAATTGCTTTACGTTCCAGTTATAACTGGATAAAAATGACACTTTGGCAGAATAGTTTTTCATTGTGAAATGAAAAAATGATCCAATTCAGTAGGGTGTGGATGTGAGGACCATTTAAATATTTTTTTGTTGGTAGTTGATGAAATTATTTAAACGCAGTCTATTTCGTGAATACTTACCTGGATAACCGACTAATTGCCATTGTTCCCAAAACGGAACACCCCTTCGAAAAAATATGGAACAGTCCGACTCAAGGCGCCACGTGCGAACCGTCTCCCTAACAAACGTCCTCATTAATAATTGCAGTTATTACGAGGTATGTTCAATAGTCGACCCCCGACGCGCGTTTTACCTCCTCGCTGTCTGTCTCTTATACACATCTAGATGTGTATAAGAGACAAGCATCGTGGTGAGATTCACGCTCTTTCCTTGGAACCGGGACATATTCGATTTGAGCGGGGCGGTGTTCGTCTCATTTTCAGAGCTGATTTCCTAGCGAAGACGCAGACTTTGGCGCATTCCCCTCCATCTGTCTTCATTCCCACCATTTCCTCGCACTCTTCAGTACAGGAGGACAGGGTTTGGTGCCCTGTGCGAGCTCTGCGGTTTTACATTCATCGCACACGTCCGTTGCGCAGCACGGATTCGCATTTGTTTGTGTCTTCAGTTCGGCCCCATGGGCCTGCTTCTGTTGATACCATTGCTTGCTGGGTGGTTTCGGCCATCCAAGCCGCTTATGCGTCGGCTCGCAAGCCTCCGCCTGCCCACATGCACGAGGTTCGCGGCACGGTGGCTTCTTGGGCCCTCTTTCACAGGGTCCCCCTCGCCGACATTCTGGCGGCGGCATGGTGGAGATCGGAGACTACTTTTTCATCTTGCTACTTGCGGGATGTTTTGTCGACCCAGGCGTCGGTAGCGGTTGCTGTGTTGAAGCCATCTCTGTAGGTAAGTCTTCTGGTTTCTGATCACGCCCGCCTCCTCCTTACGCTGCTAATCTGGCAATTAGTCGGTTATCCAGGTAAGTATTCACGAAATAGACTACACAAATCAATCGTGATGTTGGTAGTCTATGAGTGAGATACTTACCTGGATAACCTTCCCTCCCTTCCTACCCTCGCCGTGATCGTGTCGATCTTTAGGGAATGAGGACGTTTGTTAGGGAGACGGTTCGCACATGGCGCCTTGGGTCGGACTGTTCCATTTTTTTTCGAAGGGGTGTTCCGTTTTGGGAACAAATTAATTTGGATAACATTATTTAAACGCAATTTGCGTTTTTTAAAGTCAGACTCCGGAGGGAAAAAATTGTTTGATATGTTGTAGAACTGATTTTTCCAAGACAGAAAAAAGTTGTTTGACGAAAAACTGGGGAACGGTGAACGAGCTACAGATTTTTGAATATTTAAAAACTGAGGGAAAAAGGGGCGTAACCACCCATTTTTACACCATTTTCCCCCAGTTTTTAAATATTCAAAAATCTGTATCTCATTCACCGTTGCTCAGTTTTTCGTCAAACAACTTTTTTCTGTCTTAGAAAAATCAGTTCTTCAACATATCAAAATTTTTTTTCCCTCCGGAGCCTGACTTTAAAGCACTTAAACCAGTTACTGCTAGGTTAAACGCCAAACTACATGAACAATTTTTGCTTTCAGTCATTGAATCGATATGAACTTTCCTATGCAAGGTCGGCTCATATGGCGCACGCGCAGTGGTTATGAGTCACAATGTACCTCGCTATTACTGTGTTGCAGCCATAGTTCAAGTCTTGCTAATAAAGTCGCAGTGAACTTGTTTTTTTTTTGTTTGTTTGTTTTCCACTTCATTTAAATTATATTGTTTTTCCGTGTTTTTTTTAATTTATACATTTTATTAACTATTCTTTTTGTTGCAATTTCAACTTCATTTCTCATTAAAGCAGTGGGAAAAGCCCTATGTTCTGTTGTTCAAACAGACATAGAAAGTCTATTTTATCATTATTTTAATATTATTATTATTATTATTATTATTTTTTTTTTTTTTTTTTTTTCTAAGTATATAATTTTGTTATTTGATTGTCTTTATCTTATTTCACTTTATTACTTGATGCTTCTTCATCCTTCTTCTAATCAACAAATTTGTGCCTCTAACTGAAACACCACACCTCGGCTCAACACCACCACACGTGAAACAACTGTGATTACATCGTCAACAGAAGTTGTATCAACAACAAGGCAGGTTTCTACACCAGGTTCAACATGTGAGTTCATTGCAGAAAATGTTTTTTTCAAATATATTTCTATTTTGTGAATATTTTCCTTGATAACAGACTGGTACCAAATTTCTTTTGACAAAACATTTCTTTGAAAGTGCATGGAACTCTACATTCTAGCACCATAAAGCTTTGTAAAACTGACTATTTAGTACACTACACTACAGGACAGGATCCAATTATTATTATTATTATTATTATTATTATTATTATTATTATTATTATTATTATTATTATTATTATTATTGTTATAATAATAATTTTTTTGTTGTTGTTGTTGTTTCAATTTTTCTAGTAAGTTTTAATATGTATATTTCACAGTAGCAAAAGTTCCTAGTTGAGTTCCCAATCTTGTTTTTGAGGCATATTTTTTAAAGCTATTTTTCAGAAGTGATAGAAAACCAACACAAAACAACCAACACAAAATTTTATCAGTTGTATATCTTTAGAGGTGATTTTCTTTTAAGTATGTTTTTAGAAATCTGGTATTTAAAATGATCTTACACTGGTTTTTTTTTTTTTTTTTTTTTTTTTTTTAACCATTTTTTTTTTTTTTTTTTTTTTTTTTTTTTTTTTTATGAAAGTTTGGTATACGACCTGGGGTGGCAAGATAGCCACATAGTCGTTTTGATGTCACTAGTGGCTAATAATTAGCCTTCCCCTAAAAATAGACATCAAAGGGATACACACTGATACAAACATGGTCCTTAACTCGCCTAACTCTCCTGAGAGTGCTATTCGAGGAGCTGAGCGTTTTTGTTATTATAAAAAAAAGACTCAAAACATTATTTAAAGACCAAAATAAAGCTTATATAGTCATCAATATATATATATATCAATAACTCATTTTTAATTTTTGTACCACAAGACTCATTTTGTCACCACTTTCTAAGTATATATTTTTGTTCTTTGTGATTGTCTTTATCTTATTTCACTTTATTACTTGATGCTTCTTCATCCTTCTTCTAATCAACAAATTACATCAAAGGGATACACACTGATACAAACATGGTCCTTAACTCGTCTAACTCTCCTGAGAGTGCTATTCGAGGAGCTGAGCGTTTTTGTTATTATAAAAAAGACCCAAATTGAATACTCGACACATAGCCGTGGGTATGGAACTCAGGAACCATACCAATTAGCCAGACACTCAGCTCAACCTTTTACTCAAACTTGAAACATTATTTAAAGACCAAAATAAAGCTTATATAGTCATCAATATATATATATATATCAATAACTCATTTTTAATTTTTGTACCACAAGACATTTTGTCACCACAGCTCGCATATGTGTATACATGTATTTGATGTGTGTATGCTTCACGTATGTTATGCCTGGTGCATAGAGACCTCTGTATTATGCGCTTTACAGATCCCACTTATTATTATTATTATTAATTATATGAAAGAGCCAATTGCTGGCCTGTACACAGTTCTGATTTGTTTGAACCAATTATTTTATTATAGTCAATAGTAGCTTCTTTTAAAAATTTGCATTCACCATTTCTGTCACCAGGTCCTGAGGGACGAGTTCCATCTGATTGCTACTGCACTCTTACCTGTAGTGATCTCGCTGATGGTATTGAGATGTGTGACACCTCTAGTGGTTGTACGCCGGGATGTAATTGTGCACCAGGCTTGGTAGAACACAATGGTTTCTGCATTGAAATGACCGAATGTCCATGCTATGATTCTGAGTCCAATGAGTTCTACCAGGTAAGTTAACATGGTATATATAAACAATATAACTTGCATCCATACTTTAATCATATTCTCTCATAGATTAGTTGCTAGATAAACAAAATGGTATTGGTCTTGATCTCAAATTCCAAATATTAACATACATACATACATAACATCATTTATATAGCGCTATTTCATTAAGATCAGAGCGCTCAAAGCGTGGACTACAGTAGCTCATACAGCAACTTTCTTCTCCCCTAAGGGTCTCTTCGTGTCTGAGCTGGCCGGTAAACCTGGTACCAGCTACTCTCATCTGTCCACAACAGGGGCTGTATGGACCAGTACTGCCGTGATTCGGAAGAACGCATTATAAGCCAAAATCATAGTTTTAAGATATTGAGCAAAACGCGTTTCTTGTTTGCCTTTTGTTATGGAAATAAATTATATTGAATTTTTTGTGTAAATGTACTAATTACACAACAGAAAAACATACTGAAGTACTTTTTCTGTATATGTTTTTCTATAACCCAGTCAAAATGGACATAATGCACTTTTCCAAATTAAAACAAAAGCCAATGAAGCATGAAAAATCTGATGTTAGGCATTATATCCAGTTTTGTCAGTAGAATGCATGCATTCTTCTTTACTTAAGGAACAAATTAAAGTGAATTTTCACCAGGATTTTAGAGGTTTAAATTCCATTATATTTAAATAACTTAAAACAAAACAAAATATAATGTTTTTTAAGGGTTTTTGTTTATATTATTTAACAACATTATCGCATTCACTCTCATAAAATATTTACAAAATGTGTCTGATCTGATTTATTAGATGTTGTATTTCCCCTAAAATTTGGTATGGTACATGTAAAATTTAAATTGAATACTATCGTTAACCACTACAGAAAGAACAAGCAACAACACTGTTAGTAAGTTTTTTACAACATAAATAATCAGTTTATTTAAATTCACTATGAAGAATACCCCCTTTCAATTTAATAAACATAAAAATAAATAACAACTTCTAACTAAACACACTTCTTCAGGCCCATTTATCATTTTTGTTTCCTTAAATTATAAGGAAGTGTACTCATTTATAGCTAAATTTTTAAATGTAAATTTAGCATATGTATTATATCTAAATTCCAAGCATTGGCTTAATTGGAAAGTCTAAGTAAAACATTTTTAAGTTTGATATGTATGTATTTTATTTTGTTTTTTGAATGGTCTTAGTTATAATAGTAATTATTTATATTACAGACTAAAATTTATATTATGGCCACAATTTGGTCATGGGCATATTGCAACTTATTCTTTAAAAGATGAAGAACAATGCGTTCTTCTTTTATTAATTGTACTCTAATCAAAAACAAACTTGATATTTTGCCTTATTATGCCCTTCCACCAGCAAGGGAACTAATTAAATATGCATCATTGTCTTCTGTGATTGGTTGATTGCTCGCTTTTCAATGCTTGGTGGATATAATGCACTCTTCCGGATTTTTTTGCTTTGGTGGATGGATATAATGCTTAATTCTCATATTAATTTCATATTTATAGACATTTTTAGGGTATATGATCAATTCACATGATAGATTACATCCATAGGATGCCACTAAGCCAAAAATCTTAAAATTCTCAAAAATGGATATAATGCGTTTTTCCGAATCACGGCAGAGTACACCAGGTAACCCCCTACTCGTCTTGCAAGATGTACTGGGTTCTTTATAGTGCACATGAGCCAATTGTGTACACTGGGCCTACAGTTTATAGTCCTTATCAGAGAAGGCTTGTTCCACCACCAGAACCATAGGCAAGCGTGCCATTCGAACCAGCGCCGATATTATGGCTGTAGGTTGCGGCGCTCCTGCCTTAACCGTTCGGCCATTTAAACTTGCCAACGATAATGTACTATCCAAATATGCATATACTGTACATATTGCTTAATTATAAAGCCTGAACGAAAAAGAAAGGTTTGGCTTTCTGAGACTAATTGGCAATGTCATTACATCAGACCCAAAATTAATTTCACTGTATATTTTTTTAACACGTTGACTGCCAGACCCTTTTTTTTTTTTTTTGAGGTTGCGTCCCATATGCCAAAACGAGTATACAAACATACTTTCTTGAATTGCTATCAAGTTATATATTATCAAAATGATGTTTCTAATAAATTAGCAGGAAAATATTAGGGGATGAGTAAACTTGCCACTGGCAATGGGACAGTACTTTCTAAAAGTGGATACACCACTGATAGACATATTACACATACTTATCACTGAAAATATGATAGGTGCTGAAAAAGTGTAATTTTGAAATTTTTGCACCATTATAATAATATGATATTCATAGTAAGAAAGATAAAAGGTTGGCAAAGCATAAATTAATAATACTAGTTATATATATGTTTCAAGTATTTGTAACCCCGTAAAAGCAAATCTCATCTGTCCAGCTGTATTATCAATAAAACTTTTGTGTTTGAAATGCTGGATTACCGTACTTGCGCGAATATGCGCCCCTCCTAGCGTCAACATTTTCTTAAGCGCCCCATTTGAATAAGCGCCCCCTCAATAATAATGTGATTTTTTTTTTAGCCAGTCGATAATCCAATCAGTCCTGGGACTGTGGTTGTTGGCATGAATTGAGCTGCGGAGTAGAATCACATTCTTCTTAGGACAATAGCAAAATGAGATATTCCTCTTGGACAGATTAGAGCTCCCTGGACAGACAGTATCTTCCCAACCTTCATCTCCTTGTATTTGTCTTGCCCTGGTCCTACTCCTATTTTTATTTTTCCGACAATTTGCACCTTTAGCACATTCTCATCTGAGTTTTCAAGAAAACCTGCAATGATTCTACTAATCTCAATCGGCCGATGTCCAACAAGCTAACTACCAGCACAACCACTAATTTCATCTGCTATTCTGCTGTTATGCAAATACCCACAGCATTCTTGTCATTCGTAATGTTCGATTTTCCGAGTCTATTTCGTGAATACTTACCTGGATAACCGACTAATTGCCATTGTTCCAAACAGCATTCTTGTCATTCGTAATGTTCGGTTTTCCGATGTCCTTATATAATCTTTTTTTTCATTCAAAAAGTGCCTATTGAATCTAATAAGTTCCCATAAGAACCCCATGATTTTCATCTATTTCCATAAGTGCCCCCTCAATTTCCACTCAGTTTTCATAAGCGCCCCGTTTGAATAAGCGCCCCTCAAAAAGTGCAAAAAAATATTTTAACCGCCCGGGTGCTTTTTCGCGCAAGTACAGTATGCCAATATCTATTGAAATGATAACACATGTAGAGAAGAAAACCCACCAACAGATGATATTTAAAGTGAGATTGAAATCAGTAATTACAGATATGTGTTTTTTTTTATAGCTTTTATCTACCTGGCGTCAGGGTAATTGCCATGTTTGTGTATGCCAAGCAACACAGATCGAGTGTTCTCAGAGTGAATGTAACTTGCAGAGCTGTCCAGCAGTAAGTTCTTTATATTAAAATAACACAATATAAATCATCAGTCAGTAATGGAAAATATAATTATCAAACTGTGTGCTAACATTGTCATTGACTATCCTCAGCAACTGAGAGATTTAAGTATTTACTAATACTAATCGATTTTCTACTTCCAACTTTTGGAATTTTTTTTTTTGCCTTACCTATTAACAGAAAGCACATAGTGAGAAAACTTTAATTTACAATCGGAATGCGTAAAAAATAAATGCATAAATTTGTTACGTTCTATATATTGGTAATAATAATAAATACGATTTATAAAGCGCACATATCCACTAAGATAGAGCTCAAGGCAAATGAGACGGAAACATTTACAAACTTGAAATAGAAAGCATGGAAATTTACCCATGGAATGTCCTAAGCTAAAACGACTAGAAAAGCAGAAGAAACCAGCATCACCGCTTTGTTTACCAGCACTTTGAAGCCTCAATGAGGGATGAACAAATACACTAATTAATTAATAGATGGTATACTCTATTATACACGCATACATAGATTCCAGCCATCTGGTTAATTAAAAGTGGGTAATAATTTCAACTATCGCTCCTATGATGTAGGTTAAATAATGGTTCATAAATTCCCTGGGAAAAAGTACTATCATTTACAATACACCTTTAAGCTCAGCGCATATGAAAGCAGTTTGCTCAGAAAGCGTTTTCACATGCTCGTAATAACTCTCCTCTAGCTTAGGTGAGCCAGTTAAATGAGAGTCTATAATTGCCCAATCTACTGCAAGCAAGCTGATTACTCACAGGCAGAGGCACACACAGTGAACATTAAATCTCACAAGACAATTGATATCAAACATAATAGATCTTTGTTTTGTGAGGTTGAATTCTCACAAAACCTTTACACACAAGTATCAGGAGAGGCCATTTGCTGAGCAAACTGCTCTTGTGTGCACCATGCTTTACTATAATCATGGAGGTACATCTGCGATACATCTACTATATCTATAATTAATCAATCAATCAATCGTTTCAGTTATATTGTGCCATTCCAGCAGTCTTGTGGTGCCGTCCCACACTTGTACTGATGACAGGCTGTCTTGAGTTACTGTTCTTTCCATTTATTGTTCGCTTTCAATAAATTTTTCGCAAACATTATTTCTGAATCAGAAAGCAAATCTCCACTGATGTTTTTTTCAGGGATATGAGATTCAAACCACAGCTGATCGCTGTTGTGAATGTGCACTAATCCAAACAACGGTCATACCCACCACCAGTATCAATCGTAAGTGCCAATAGTGATAATTAATCATCAATGAAGATAATTATTGTATGCCCAAAGTCCCTATAAATAGGTATGACCAAAGAGTATGGAACTGCTAGAGTTCTGACAGTGTTGATTTTGTATGCACGCAATGAAACGTTTAAAAAACTAACTACCACGAGATGTGGGGCATGCTATTAGAATTCAAGTAGAGTTCGAAACATGCGTTCTATAGACGCAATACGCGTTCGATACAAACGCCTTTTTTACGTCTTTTGAAGGATGCCCTTTAGTTCGTGGTAGTACGTTTTTGAGAGAGGATTGTGTTCCAACAAAACCCGGAGAGTTGATTTGATTTGACCTGTAGTAGACCAGTCTATCATACCATAATGATTACAATTTTTAATTCCAGTGTAACAATGCTGTACTATCGAGTAACAGCCTAGTCTAGACTATCTATTTTTTTTTAAAGATTATGGTACAGTAGTTCTTTGTATCAAACTACAGTATATTACATCACTGTAAATAGTCAAATGATCATGTAGCATGGAGGAAAGGTGCTTGCTTTTTATTCCCACGGTCTTGTGTTCAAATCCTGTAATACACCAGGATTTGTTTTAATAAAGGCTAAAAGCACTACTTTCTCTAAAAGGATTTTTGTTTTAAGTGGAGTATCACATAGTTTGTTGAAATGTAACTTTGCCTATACCAGGTAATCCAATACAAATGAGGCATGTTGTGGCAAAATGGCTAAGTTGTGACAAAAATTGAAATTCAACTTACTGGTATTTTTAGATTCAGCTATCCCTCTAATTTAAGACCCCCTCCAATTAAGGACCATTGTTATGTGGTCCCACCAGATGAACATATAACTTTTATTATCTTCATAATTATTATTTTTCTAATTAAAGACCAAACCTTCTAAAGACCATGAACAACTTGGTCTCTAAAGTGGTTTTCAAATGGAGGGAGATCTGTACTTTAGTATTGGGGGGGGGGGGGGGAGGGTGTTCATTCATTGAAATTGGACATTTCAAGCATTAGTTATTGGGAGGCTAATGTGCAGCACTTTTAGAGTCAAGATAAACATGATTTTCAGTAATTGTCTTCCAAAGTAATTTGTGCATACATTGTTTATTAACATAATAACATTAAATAAATGGTTTGTTAACCATTTCCAGAATATAAATTTTGGGATATGAATAATTTGATATTCAACTGTTGAGTTATAATGAAAGTATAATTTTTAGGCCATTTTTTGAGCTCATATTTTATAACTCATTTATTCAATGGTGGTCTGCGTGGAAGCTTAGTCATTTTATCACGACATGCCTCAAAATCGTAGACTACCAGCAGGGGCGGATCCAGAGATGTCCGAGTGGGGCCGATTGAGATAACGGTACCCTAGTGGGTCCAGGGATTTCCCCCGCAATATTGTTTTATAGACGCCCAAAAATAACCTCTGAGGCGTTTTGGGCCATCAATTTTTTTTTTTTACTGGCCCCCGGCCCCCTCTGAATCCGCCCCTGATCAGCATCACCCTTGACTTGTAAAGCAAAATTCCATGCTATGTACATTTTTTGAAAGTGTGTTCCTATATCTTGATCACAACAGCTTGTTTCCTGCCATATGTTTACCGAGAAACATGTGATTGTCATACAACCTGTGAAAATCGCAACTTTGTATGCCAAGAGGGCTGTGAAAGCGGTTGCTTCTGCCCTGAGGGAATGGTAAGGAATGAAGACTCGTGCGTTCTGCCTGAACATTGCCCCTGTGATTATGACGGCGTGGTATTGCAGGTAATTTATCAATTTCTTTTTTGTTATTAAGTCAGGCTCCGGAGGAAAACAAATTTTTGATATGTTGTAGAACTGATTTTTCTAAGACAAAAAAAGTTGTTTGACGAAAAACTGAGCAACTGTGAATGAGATACAGATTTTTGAATATTTAAAAACTGGGGGAAAAAGGTGTAAAAATGGGTGGTTATGCCCCTTTTTCCCCCAGTTTTTAAATATTGAACCGGACCTTGAATAAATGTTATGAAGCAGATTCCGAATTGTCTGAATTAGATTTCACCAACTTCAGATTCTTGGTATGAATGATACCAAGCTGCGTTGAATGGGCCAAACCACCCCTTGGATATTGTTGCTAGGTAACATGTAACAATATAATATTATTAAAAATTGTAATTATATATAGTGCCCTAGCTTCAATGCACTTTATAATATTAAGAAGTCTTGTGAAATTTGGAAAAGTCCCATCAAAATTGACATGAATAATTTACTTTTTAACAATCAGATTATTATTAACAGACTTTTGACTGATTAGCAACCAATCTGATTTAAGTGATATCAGTTGTATTATATTATATTATATTATATATAATATATATAATTATACAACAATTTTAGTGATAATAAAATGCATAGAAGCCTTGCTCTATGAAACTTTTTTTTTCTTACAAGATTTTATTTTGCAAACATCATTTTCAGTTTTTTATATTCTTGATTTTAGTACCAGGAAGCCATCCAAGTATCAGATTGTACCACTTGTCAATGTGAGGAAAATGGAGAAGTTAATTGTACAAAAACCTGTGGTATTGAGGAATGCGGAAATGTATGTATATTATATTCTATTCAATGAACGTTTATTTTTGTGTTTTTGATGTATATGAATTGGCCAATAAAGATTAGAAATTCCATCACATCATCATAACTACACTAAAACATTTTAACAATATTTTCACTAAATATAATTTTTATCATATTGGAAATATGAAGAAAAAATAATAAAGATTAACAGATAATTAAATAGTTCAGTGCCATTTCTCAATAGACTGCTTTTGTAGGCTTATTTACAAAGAGCGCAACAGTGGCCGCACCCAACAGCATAAACAAGATAAAAATTATACAGTGGGCAACAGCAGCTGTGACATAATTTCTGTGGCTGTTCTATAGTCTGCTCAATCAATTCATTCTGATTTTCAGTTGAGATATTGAATTTTATTTTTTAGCTTTTCATAGACAGATATATCTATTATTTGATACATTGATTGTCATTCTTTTTTATTTTAAATAACCCTTAATCCACAGAATCAGATTCTGATTGAACCAGATGGTATAAGGTGTTGTTATTGTGAAACAAGTAGGTTCCCATAGTGTCTTACTATTTTATTGTGAAATTTAAATTCTTGTATTCCTAATCTAGTTTTTAAATAATATATTCAGGCATAATAATTTATTAGCTGATCACAGAAAACCGTTTTTTCATTCAGTACTATGGATTAATGATGATAATAGGAATATATCCAATATTAGAAAATAGAAGCTAAATTACCCATGAACACGTTCAGTGCTAAGCATTTGTACAAGATGAGCCCCGAATGCCAAAACAAGTTTACGTATGAAAACATACTTTTCCAAATTATTTTACTCTCCCAAATTTCCCAAACTACCAGCCGCAGATTCTGTGGTTCTACAATGTATAACAGGAAAGTTATAAATGCTAGAATGATAGTGTTTTTGGCGAGTACTTGTACTCGTTTTTGGTACGCCAAGTACACTATATGACGAGTATACCATCTTATCAAAAACAATCATTTTTGGTGCTGAGTTTATTCGAGAGCGGTGCTTATTCAAGCATTTAATGTACTCAGCAAACACATGTTAATTCCTGAAAGGCTTGCAAGGCATCAAGGCAGTCTTTGAAGGAAATATGGGCCATATTTGAATGGTTCATTTCGTTGGCAAAGATTTTTATTGAGTATTATTTTCATTCGGCTGGTTCATAATTTAAACATTTAAACAACACAAATTAACGTAAACCAGAGTGCGTTAATTGTAATAAGTTATCCATGTGACCAAAACAAACAAGGATCGATTGGTCAGTTCACCAACAACATTTGCGTTAATATGATTTAGATTAAATTTCAGAAAATAATAATTATAATATTTACCCACATGAAGTAAAAAATAATTTTAGGCCAACAGAATTCAAAAACTGCATGGAAACATTTTTTTACGAAAAAAATCCATACTGCCGCAAGCTGAAGCAACCTTGATTACGCTACGTGTATCGCTGTAACTGTGCTGCCATTTTGTTTTGTCAAGTATTTACCAGTTTTCTATTTGTCCTGTCATCTTCGCTAAGTAGGATTTTACCACTGCGCAGGCAGCCATGGTTTAACAAAGAATGACCAGTCGAATACAGCCAATAACTCCTTAAAAGCTTGTATTTTCCAGTTTATAAGGAAGTCACCTACTACACCAATAAATTTACTTGCCTTAGAACATACCATTGAGTGTACCATGTTAATTTATAGTTTACATATAAACCACCAAGCAATTTGACCTCATCTATATAAATTTAGAATTAATACTGTAACCATACACATTTTTGTGTGGTTATTTTGAAAATAACACATTTGAAATAATTTGATTTTTAATTGTATTAAATTAAATACAAATAAACTATTGTTATTGTTGTTGTTATTATTTTGTATAATATTATAATTGTGTTTATTAATTTAATAATTTAAATAATTCATTCACCTGATGAAGACCACTGCATGGTCGAAAGCTTGTGATTAAATAGGTTTGTTAGTCTTCATTTACTGTTATCATCTAGACTCACGGCTACCCCATCTTCTACATCATGATTTATTAATTTGTATACCATTTTCTTCTTGTTTTTCAGTGACCACCCTTACATCAACAACACTCTCCACACTGATTACAACCATCACAGGAAGCAATACAACAGTAATTGGTACGACATCGTATTGCGATGGCTGTTTAAGTGGAGATCACTGTATCCCTGTAAGTTAAGCCTAAATTTTTACTCACCTTTGAAATGTAATGAATGTAAATGATAGGATTTTACAATTAAGGAATCTATGTTGTCAATAAAAATACAATACATCAATTTAAAGATTTGAAAATACAATGGCTTGACTACAGTAAGCCAAAAATGGCAAAGAAGATGTGTTATTATTGGTATTTTTTAATCAAAGTTATTTTTTTTGTTTTTTGATGGTTTTTATTGTTGATTTTAATTTAATTTTTTTATATTATGTTACAATCATTACATTATTTTATTGTTAATATTATGATTTACAGGTGGGAGACTCATTTACAGTTGATGAATGCACAAATTGTACTTGTGAATCAGTAGGCCAAGAACTTTGTATGACTCAGTCTTGTGAGATCAGTGAATGTCCACCGGTAGGTTACCCACCGAATTTGATATAAATTGAAATATGCATTTACAAGTAAATTTCATGATACAGGTATATCAATAATAATAATAATAATAATATATGGGATAATTTTTTATTTATTTTTTTCTTTGTTATTAAGTGACTCGATGTCAACTGGAGGTGCTATATAAATCAAGAAGAATTATTATTATTGTTATTATTATTATTATTATTATTATTATTATTATTATTATTTGAACATTTTCCATTACTACAGTATATGGATTATATATCGATCTTTGGAATTAACTACCTTCTTTTATTAGCTCATCTATCTCTATTACATTTTATGTTAACGATATGCCTTCTTGTTTGTTTGCTTTTGTATGCAAAAGTCCCTTCATCCCACATTCAGTGCATTCTCTTTGGCACTAGTCACGGGCTGAAGAAAGCCGATTGTTTGATTACTCAGGACACACTATTGAAGGCTGCGATTCAGTAAATTATCTTGGTGTCGAGATTGACTAATATGCTTCCGGTGATTTCCTAGCTATGTCAGCTAAAAAGAAAGCAAATTCCCCTCTAAAATACTTTTATCGCAAAAGTTCGTACCTAAATCAACTCTGTTGCAAAATTCTCACAATGACTCTTGTGCAGCCTCTTTTTGACTATAGAGTACTACAGTGTTATGTCGTGATACTACTCCGTTGCTATCGTTGCAAAATGAATTCAACCGGACGCCATTTTCTCCACTGACAAACCATTGATCCCAATTTCTAACATAGTTATTAAGATGTTGTATCTTAGTTTTTCTTTGTAAATTTTAATTGATGATTAAATGTGTGTTCGATAACTAAACAATGCAAGCTTTTGTGTAAGCGTAAACAACCTTTCAGCAGAAAAAGGCTATTATAGCAAATACCAAGTTATTAGAAGAAAACAGTTTAAGTTTTAGCAAATTTGAATTTGCAGAGAACAAGGGGATGGTGCCAGCAGAGGGTGTGGGGGATTTTATTTTCAATGCTATTTAGAGTCTTTGGTTCTAATTATTTATCATCGGTAGTTGTTGATTTTATTGAGAAAACATGACAAGATTTTTTTCAGAGTAAAGTTAGGCATGTATCAGTTTATTCAGGCATTAAGTATTTCACTCAGACTAACAACATCATTTTGGATTCATTTATAGCATGTATCTATAGTTAAACAATAGCTAAAATTACAAACAACAGTAACCTATGTTTTTTTTTTTTGTATGATATAAATAGAATTATATTGCCTGGACAGATGAGGGTAGGTGCTGTCCAACATGTCAATATACAACTTGCGAAGGATTACATTTGTTCTCATGTGGTCCAAGTGACTGCACTAACCAAATTAACCGGTGTGATGACGTGTGTGACTGTCCTCCAAGGTGCAGAGATGAGGCAGGGTGTAGTAAGTAGCAACCATTAATTATCTTTGATTATCCTACCCACATACATGATTGAAGCTCTGTCTAGGCTGTTATAATTTTGGCATGAAAAGCCACCTAAAATGGACTGCCACAGTGAAAGTACAGTAGGTCTAGTAAAACTTCATTTCATTTATTTATTTGTTGACAGTATCAACCTGTTGTTTCTAATTATTAAGGTGGATTCTGGCTTTGACAATCATAATAGATGAAACGAAATACATTAAAATGCATTGTGTAAAGACAGTCTTCTAAATAGAAAACTGTTCTTGTGCGTTTTAGGATTGGGAAATGGGATTTGAAGTTGACCCTGGCTGGCACTTTGTGTACAAATAGATATTTCCGCAACTCTAGAGAGATGGTGGGTGACAAGTCTTGCATCTCTCAAGTTTAGGCAGCCTTGTTCAAAGCCTATTGAGTCTTGAGTGGTGGATTGAATAGTTTTATGAAGTGTGAGGGAAGACCATAAAGACTTTATGCTTAAGCTTTATTTTTGCATTTTTCTCCAGATGAATTAACTACATTAACAACTCAGACAACAACTGAAATACCTCATCCACCACCAGGTAAGAGCCAGCATTGATTTGAATAATACATTTAGGTACAACGTCCTCAGCACCCATGTTGACAATTTTAGTCTCCCCAAATTAATCTCTTGCTGCTCATCTCCATGGAGGCTTTTGTGTCCATGATACTCTACACCCTTTGCTGGCTATAGTAGCAATATGGCCAAGCAGTTAAGGCAGGGACGCTGCAACCTACAGCCATAATGATAATAATATTGACGCTGGTTTAAGCGGCACACTCACCTATGGTTCCAGATGATGGTTCTCAGATAAGGAATAAATCGTAGGCCCAGTGTACACAATTGGCGCGTGTGCACTATGAAGACCCAGTACATATCACAAAATTGTTTATTCACTCTTTTCTACTTTTCCATTTCCTTGCAACGTTCTGCTAATACCACACCCTATTTTGCATATTCATTATTTATTGCTTCTTCAATCTCATGCATAATAGCTCATAATCACAATCGCTTCAATGGTTATCTCATTCTCGCTATTCTTTGGTACTTCAATTGCTGCAGCCATAAGATCTTCAAAATTGAGCTCTTTGATGTCCAATCTAGTCATTCATTTTTTCCATATTCTCTCAAAAAATAAAGAATGTGGGAGAGGATGCAAATTTTTTTTTTCTTTTTTTTTTTTTTTTATTTGGTCTAATATTGACCTGTTGATTTTCAATTTTATTACAGCTTGCCCACATGGCCAGATTCCTGTACAATGTCCAGCTGATTCAGGATGCAGACCTGATGTTTGCAACAATGTCAATTGCTTGGTGGAAAGTGACAGGAGCATATGTTGCAAGTGTATTGGTGACGATCGATTTTACGATGGAACACATTGTGTCCCTGAGCATAGCTGTACATGTGTACACGAAGGCCAACAATATGCCGTAAATATAAACACTTTTATGCAAAAAGATATTATAAATTTGAATCACTGTTATTGATAACATTATCATTATTGTTATTATTATCATTACTTTAATATTATTATAATTATTAATTGTTATTGTTTGTTTTCATTAATTTTATTTTAGTAAAACAAATTTGAATACATACAATTATTAAAAGATAATAATAAAAAGATATAATTAACCATTATAAAAGACACTCCAGAAAATAAGAAAATATATTCCCTATTTAATGAATGCAACCACAATCTGAGTTTTTTTCAGTTTCTTTAATATAACTAAATGCATTCTGCATTTACTTCTTTACTAATTACATTTATTTTGTTAATGTAGTTTTACTTACATATCTGTTGTTCTTCAGTACAGAGAGACATGGCGTTCAGCCACAGCAGAGTGTGAAGAGTGTCTCTGCCTGGGTACATCTGTTTCATGTTATACCCTGGACCGCTGTGAAATTACAACACCCCCTGTTACTACTCTTCCACCTCCAACAACTGCTACTGCATCACCAACCACTCCTGTTCCATCAACAACATGTAAATAAAGTTTAATTCAAATTTTCAAATAAGGCCATGTAAAAAACAAACTATGATCATTTTTGTTACCCAAACTTTTTGGCTTACAGTAGTAGTTTTTCAGGCATGGGAAAAACTATTGTGTCCTCTCCACTAAAAATAAATATAAATTAAAAAAAATAATAAAAATAATAATAATAAAATATATATAAATGGGTTAAATTTTTTTAAGACGTATGGGTGGGATTTCTATTTGTTTTTTTTTGTTTTTGTTTTTTTTTTTCTACTCCTGAGTTTGTACAAATTAATTTTACTTGTGTTGGTAGGGATGATCAACATTTTTTTACATGCCTTAAATAATATGAATGAATTCTTTTTAGAACATTGAAACTATAAACCGAAAATTCAGTCAGTTTATTTACCTGAATGAACCGACTAGCACCTATCTTTTTTTTTATGTAAGGTGTTAGGTGCTAGTCAGTTCATCCAAGTATCTCACTCATAGACTACGACCAATGCTGATTTGTGTAATTTTTAGTCCAACAACCTCAAGTGTTGTCCACAAATCTCAAATGGTGTCAGAAAAATGCTTGTTTAAAGGGTCAAATTTAAATTGCACAGAGTATTCTTTAGTACAGAAATTTTCAGCATTTTTCAAAAATCTTTTTTGTGGCCCATAGTTTTAGAACTGCTTTTGTCATTGTAAAAATAAATAAGTGCTATAACATGATTGCAAGCTAAAAACAGACCTCTGTTGTAACAAAAACAAATAAATTAAAGATGTATTTCCCCATGCTAAATACCAAAAAAATCATAAAAATGTTTTTTGAAATTAACTTGCCCATTTTGAAGTAACATAAATGTTATCAACTTGAACATAGAAATTAGTGTATTTAAAAAATGTCTGCCCATCTGTTTACAGCGGAAAATGATAGAAACACTTCCAGTCACTGGAAGTGTTAAATTATTTTTATTATAATTTATTATAAAAAATCAAGGTACACATTTTTTTTAAATTCAATAATTTTTATGCACAAGTTAATAATTTGTATGCTATTGCAATATGAGCAAGTTTATTTCAGAATTATTTTTCATGATTTTTTGACATTAGCAAGGGACAATACATCTTTAAGCAATTATGTACATATACATAAATTAACTTATGGCCAATGTATTTCATATTTTTACAGTGGAAAGTTGTGGAAATATGTGTAGTTGTCGGCTTGATTGTCGTGGACAACTTATAAACCCGGAATGTCCATCCCAAGTTGGCCCACGTTGCAGTCGATGTATTTGTCCAGACAACACTATTGATTCAAGCAGCTATTGTGCTGTGCCTGCCGATGATTGTACAACAACGGTAGTTACAACAATATTGCCAACAACAACAGCAAGTAAGTTCATACAGCCAATCGAAAATGGTGGTGTTTTATTAACGTATAGTATTTTGATGTTCATCATCACCATCATCACCCTATGATGTGCATAAACCTTGTATGAGTATATTCGCACAGCATTGATGGTAAATTATGTTTGCTTGAGAAAATTAACAGATGTGAATATCAGATACCCTGTCCTTGTTGAGGTAGGCTATTGCACAGACCGATGATGTCTTGGAAGAATTAGCACTTCCTTAATGATTGCACAGGTTTTTGGTTCAGTACTCCCATATTCTAGTGTGTTGTTATACTGTAGAGTGTGTGAATATTTACCCGAATATAAACCAAAAATACCAGATTTTGTTCTGTTTCCAAGGGACAATGAGAATGTGTGTGGTTGTAAGGTTGTTTTTACAGGGTTTCAGAGGTGCAACATTTATTTTGTAAAGTATTCTCTTAAGAGAAATGTTGCCATAGTTTTATCAACGAGCATAGAATTGCTAGAGCTCCGACTCTATTTTGCATGCACGCAATGAAGCAAAAATACAGTAATACCACAAGATGGGGGGTGGGAGGCCTGTTGGAATTCGAAGTTGAAATTCATACAGGCTATAGATAATGCACATGTTTGAACACATTTTATGCTTATAACTTTCCTTTTAAAGGAAAGGATAGTGCTATAGGATTTTGTTTCAATAAACCCTAATAGAAACCCTGACATCTTGCAATTCTATACTCGTTGGTTTTTATCTAGATATAACATCTGACATCACTACTGATTTGTGTAGTAAAAAAAACTTTTTCATTAAATAAAAGAATAAAATCAAATATAGCAACCTATATTCATGATAACTGATTTATGCTATTGTTATTTTTCATAGCTCCATGTAACCATCCAGAAAATTGTGTATATTTGCTAACATGTGATGAAATACACTTAAGTGATGCTGAACTGGCAGCACGTGCTGCAGCTGCTTTGGAGCCAGCCTGTTTGGAGCATTGTCTGTGTCCAACTGACAGTGTCCCATTAGACGGCGCTTGTATACGCATGAATCACACATGTACATGTGAGGTACTGTATATGACATTATTTTTTATCAGCTACTAATATTCTACTCTACTTAACTGATTCTCATTTTAATCAATGAATCTTAGGTTTATCATAAATTTGTTTAATATATATATATATATATATATATATATGTATATATTTATGTATGCATGCATGAATGTATATATATGTATACGAATAAATACGATTCATCT